TGAATACACTAAGATATATACAGCTATTAAGTTAAGATATTTACAGTATGAACAGATTAGCAGTAAATTATAAAGTGCAGATGTAAGTATTAAATTGATTGACATTATATACAGACAGCTACATATGATTACACTATAGGTTGTATGTTTGTTTGTTTGATTGGTAAAACAAATTAAAAAAAAATACAGCAACAACACAAAATATCATGAAAGTTCAACTGTTACTCTAAATTAATTTTACACAAACTTCTGCAGTTATTGCATTCACTATTTGGGTCCATTGTTCTGTAGTGTTTATCAGTTATTGAACTGAATATAATATGAAATATCCATAAAATATGCCATAGGTTTAATCAACAATAGAAAAGGAAAAAGGTTGGGAACCACTGACTAAGACACAGAAAACTTTAAAAGTTCTCACTTATTTATATTTGTATTTTTTAAGTCTTCTTTTCTTTTTTCTGTTATTTTTTTTTCTTATCTGTATATTTGACACTTGCTTTGTCAATCTAAACATCAACATTCCCCATGTCAATGAAGCTCCTTTGAATTGAATTGAATTAACAAATAGGCCTGTTACTGACTTTGTGCTACAGTAAGTGACAACAGTGACATCAAGTGGTCTATCTGTTAACATTTTCTATGTGTATCTTAGTAAAACTAACTGAAGAACTTTACTTGTTGTGCACTGCTGCATCATCCACCACCATTGTGCTCAAAAAACAAGTTTGTGGGCTCCTCTGTGTGTGCACTCAGTACGACGTGACAAAGACTGCTGCCAGTAAACTGGCGTCATGTGCACGGCTGAATTGGAAACGTGTGATTCCAGTCTGCTGAAGAAAGAGGAGGAGGGAGGGTATGAGGGAAAAAATGTTCATGGGCCCGTTCTTGCAGGATTAGAGACAGAAAATGTGGCCTTGTATGCAGCCGGTCTGAGCTCTAAAACCAAACGGAGGGAGATCAAGCAACTGCTGTACCAGATTCTTCCAGTCTTATTCTCGCTAAAGGCTTCAGGGGCGACCTAGCTGTCTCTATGTTTCCAAATGTCCCTTTATATTCTGTTTTTGTTGTAAGTCTGCATGTCGAGGCCATGATTCTGCAGATCTTAGCCTGTTAATTTTCAGTGATTGTCTTTACCTGTTGTCCTTTCGTATAGATGCCAAGGGGAGGCAACATGCCTCTGGTCCGCAGGAGGGCGAACGCACTCTGCGTGCTGATGATGCTCAACATCTTTGTCTGCGTTCTGATGGGCGTGTCGTGGAACCTCAGGCACAACAAGAGTGACCGCCACAAGGTTCATATCCCGACCGAGAGGTTTTGGCACCAACAGGTAGTGAGCAAATCCTTCTGGAACAAGGAGCAGCAGCGCCTGGACTTCATTTACAACCCCAACGTCAACTCTGTGCTCTCCAGCGACTCCCGGATTGAGCTGCCGGATTGGCTGAATGACACCGGGCCGCTCAACCCCTGTGAACCAGATTACAGAGTCCCCACACAAATCTTGGACTACAATTCCCTCCCGCAGCGATTCCAGGATTTTCTTTTGCACATGCGCTGCCGGACATACCCCCTGCTGATTAATCAGCCGCATGTTTGTGATGAAAAACCCTTCCTGCTGCTGGTGGTCAAGTCACTGATCCCGCATTTTGAGCGGCGGCAGGCCATCCGTGAAACATGGGGGCGAGCGGGCGTCTTCGGCAATCGGACTGTGGCGACGGTGTTCCTGCTAGGCAACACCTTGTCGGTGGACCACTTCCCAGACCTGCTGGGGATGCTCAGCCACGAGGCGGAGCTTCACAAAGATGTCATCCAGTGGGACTACAGGGACACCTTCTTCAACCTGACCCTGAAGGAGGTCCTCTTCCTGGGGTGGTTCAGCCAAAACTGTCCCCACGCCCAGTACATCCTCAAAGGAGACGATGATGTCTTCGTCAACACCTTACGAATTATTGACTTCCTGGAAGGCCTGTCAAATAACAAAGCCAAGGATTTGTTCATAGGCGATGTTATCAGCAAAGCCGGTCCACACCGAGACCGGAAACTCAAGTACTTTGTCCCAGAGGGCGTGTTTGAGGGGATGTACCCGCCTTACGCAGGAGGCGGTGGATATCTGTACTCTGGGGAGTTAGCGCTACGCCTTCACAACATATCTCGGCAGGTAGTCTTGTATCCCATTGATGACGTCTACACAGGGATGTGTCTGGAAAAGCTGGGCCTGGTTCCTGAGAAGCACAACGGCTTCAAGACTTTTGACATTGAGGAAAAGTACAGGTCCAACCCCTGCATCTACAGAAGCTTGATGCTGGTTCACAGCCGGACGCCGCAGGAGATGTTGACGATCTGGCCGTGGATTATCAGCCCTGAGCTGGACTGCCAGTGAAACATCTTTGTTTAACGATTGTTTGCACTGTTCACTTGTCATTTCAACAACTTTCAATTTAGTTAAATCCTCAAGTCCAAGCAAAACCTCTGTATTTTAAAGTTTAACAGTGTTTTCAGATCTGTTGTTTTCTTTTCCATGAGCTGTATGTAAAAGAAAGCATTTGGTGAATGACTCCTCCAGAACCTGAATTTGCACGCACAGTGACTGTATACAAATGTTAGTGTTGGTATGTAAACGTTCTTGTGCCATGTAAGCAGGCAAATGTTGGGTTGAGTGGGAGTGTGCAACTTTATACTTCTACTCCACTACACCTCAGAAGGAAATATTGTACTTTTTACTCCACTGACAACTTTACTTTTCAGATTAGTTTTTCATAACTTTAATGTCCAGTGAAAACCACGTATCTCCAGATTGTGTGAATGTTTGTGATAAACTGAAGGATGAAGTGTTCCTTTATGGGTTGAGAAAATTCTTCTTTCTTTAAAATCCCTTTTGGATTAGCTGGAAAATGCGTCATCACAAAGCTGAAAACTGGGTCCGGGTTCCCGCCTGGAAAGTCTGTAAATTTAGAGACTAGTTTTCCAGTCACGGAAACACCTGGAAAATTATCAAAATGACCAAATATCCTGGAAATTAATATCTTCTCCTGGAAAACTTTAATTGTATTTCAACCTCTGACTCAGATCACATAAATCTGGGTGAGTTAGTTGCTGTTGCTTAAATGTCAGTCAAAAGTTGTTGCAGCGACTACTAAGTCTGCTTTGGAAATGCTCTCAGATTCATTCAGCCTGTTATTAATGATCAAATTTACATTTGGTGTTTGTGGTTGATCAGTGTTAATTGTACGTGCAACGAAAGCATATACTTTATTAGACTTTTTTATAGGCTAATAGGTGAAAAGATGGATTTTCTGTCAAATAAAATACATTTTACTTGACTTGAACTGTTATTTACGCTCCACTGAGACCGCATCGTCAAAATCGGCTGCAGTGAAAACTACCAAGTGCATCACAAAAGCAAGATAACGTGAGTGTCCCCGTAAACCATCATTGTGAGCAAGTTCTGTCTTATATTGTCAAGAAAAAGTCCTAGAAAATTATTTTTCTGGAAACCCTGAGGCGGTTTTTCTGACTTTTTAGAGCTACAAATGGGTGTGGCCTGGGTTCTTGGCAGCCAATAAGCCAAGAGAGACTAACCATGAGTGTAGTGGCTGGGAAGACACCAGACTTCGGCAAATCTTGAGCTATGTACAGTATTTTCTTGGATTTGTTTTCATAATGCATAAGTCGTTCACTTTTTACTAAAAACTTGAGACTGGTGAGGATACCCAATAAGATTTGCCTTTTCTCTGAGGTCTGCACATTTGGGAGCTTCAAGAAATCTGTAGCCAATCAGCAAAGCCCTGCCCTAGGCCTTTGTCTCACCTTCAGCTGAGCAACCATGAGGGCAAGCTGGAGGAAATTCAGGCCAAAACTCTTGATACGAGCTTAAAGCTATTTTACCTTATGAGCTACACTTTAAGTACATTATATGTGTGGACTCGAGTCAGACTGAATCTTTGCATTTTGCACATGCAGGTTAACAACAATAAATAAACACTTTGGAAGGTAGTTCCTTCTTACTGGCAGCTCATCTGTAGTCAAGATTGTTTGCTTTATGACATCTGTGGACCGAAGCTGGTCACTTCTGCAGCAATGTTCCTGACCAGCAGTAATACTGCTGCAGCTTATACAGTGTGATCCACCAGTGGCCACACACTGAGCATGGACTTTACAGTGAAGTGAAGTTAGACTGACGGTGTAATTTTAAATGAGGTAAAATTACGAGGATTTTTTTTTTTTTTAATGTGTAAATTATACTTTTTATTACAGTAAAAACACATCAGACACACATTATTGTTCCAAACAGACTGTTTGCATATATGTCTTAATACATCAGGACACACTGTTTCTGTGAAGAACTTCAGTTCACACAAACACACATTTTACTTAATTTGGGATTTTTAAAAGCTTTGTGTTCATGTTTTAATGTCCCAGCTGTGATGTTGCTGCTGTTACTGAACTTTCATCATATTTGTATAATTTATTTTTAAACAATAAATGGAGTTTGGCTCAAATGATTGGATTATTATTATTATTATTATTATTATTATTATTATTATTATCATGAATATTAACATCGTTCTTATTAATATCATCATCGTCATCATAATTATCATTATTTGTGTCATTATTATTATTAATAGTAGTAGTTTCATTATTATTAATGTTAAATTGTATCTTATGTATAGTCTTCTATATATAGAATATATATATATATATATATATATATATATAGATAATTTCCTCTTTCTGCAACAAATGGAAGAACAAATACAGTTTTATGTCATTTGTGTAAAAATAAAAGTGTATTTTTCACTGCTGCTGTGGTGAACCAAAGCTTTTACCTGAAGACTGGAATGAAAGAGTAAATATAACATCCAACGGGGACCTCTGGTGGACAAACCCTGACATCCACATCCAGCAAAAGGAAACACAATCAGCTAATTGATGAGTTTCAGCTGCTCAGACAGGAAAGGAAAACAGCAGTTTAACTGAAACTGTGTGCCTTTTCACATGTTTCAGTACGTTGTGGAAGTAAAATGCCCCGAAGGAACAGCTTTAGTGTGCTGCTCATATTTCTGCTGATATTTGGTATATTTTGGAAACACGGTGACTCGCAGGTAAGCCGCCATCCTCCCTGTGACATCAACTGGTTTTGGTTTTATTTGGTGAAATGTAATTCTGGTTGTTGCTTTCGTGTGTTTGTAGGTGAACAGAGAGGAAGCCAACAACCCTCCAGGTGAGACTCTGAACACACTCTATAAACGGGATCTACAGTGACAAAGTTAATAAAAAAATAGATTACATTTTTAGAAAAGCATTAGTTAAAGTGACCCTCAACATTTATCTAAATCTATGATGTTAACCATCAATCTTAGTATTAAAATTGATTTAGGAGATCTATATTTGGCTGCAGTAACTCTTAATAAATACAAATGTTTTTTTAAATTTTAACTTAAAAATTAAACAGAAGTGTTACTGAGAAGTAAATGACAGGTGATCAGTTGCAATATTGGCTTATGTGATTTCACTGTTGTTGTTTTTAATCAAATAAATCAGATAAAAGTTAACAGGTTTTTACCTTCTCTTGTGTTTAATTATGTTGTATGATGTAACTATGTGGTTTCATGTCTTTATCTAGCTTATATATTACACTGTGTCTCCATACTTGTCTTTTTCACTGTTTTGTGATTCTCTTTGGTTAACAGGACACTTTTATACACCAACAGTGAATGTGGTGTTTGTGTATCCTGAAGCCTGATCAATCTTCTTCCTCTGTGCTGTAGAGGTCCATCAGTGAGCCACACTGTTGCACTGGGTTACATGTTTCCTCATTACCACGAACACACTGTAGTTTATTTTCACACAATCACATATACAGCACCCTGCTGCTCCAAATACTCACTGGAGCACCAAATGTGGATTAATCTGCCTCTGAAAATAGTCCCCACCAATTTCCTGCAATGACCAGCTGTTAGAGGAAATGTATGAGCTTTTTAAAAAAAATGACATCTTCATTATAAACCACTGGTCTTGGACCTGAGAGCCAAAGACCAGGTACACTGTAAAATATATTGTTGTAAGTAAATTATGTGTGAATAATTGCAGTAAATTAACAGTAGCGAACATTAATTATTTTACAGTAATATGGATTAAAATCACCGTAATGTATTGTGTTTCTACAGTAATCAGTCAGAATGTTACTGTAAAAATACAGTATTTTGATGTGAAATTACAATACTTCACTAATTCACAACATCTGCCTGTAATATTTAAATAAATATGAATATATTATTATTAATAATAATTACATATTTATATAAATATAAATCATGCGTTGTAAAAACATCATTACGGTAGTTTATTGTGAAAACCTGGTGATTGTTAACAGTGTAGGGACTTGTTGGTTTTGTTTTCATGGCGGTTTGTTGATGATTTATTTTTATTTTTTTTAAAAGGTGGTCTTATTAAACAAGTTTTGCGTGATCCAAAAAATCCGACTCAAGGATCAAACAACGAGCAAAAATTAGGAGGAGAATGTTTGTTCGTCAAATGTTTGTCTGAAGCACGCTGCAGCACTTTATTTAGAGAGCAGGGCGGTCGATGGTCGTTATGTAATGTTGATATAAAACAAGACTGTTTGCTCGAAAATAACAACAGCAGCGGCGAAAGAGGTTAGAATAAATGCTGCTAGCATCAGTTATATCAGAACTGAATAGTATTTCTTCTTCTTCCGTGAAGGAAGAACAAAGAACGGCACTGAAGGCTTTTCTCATTGGAAAATATGATTTGTGTTTACCTCAAAATGGCCGATTAATCGGTCTATAACTCGTTGGAAATGAACCCTAACATTTGTGAAATGGTTGTCAGTAATGCTGAATACACACAACCTGCAGAACCACTGGTATGTTCTTCCTCAGATGGACACGGAGGAGGCGACGGTGCGTTCTTCGCCCTGCGGAACTGCCACCAGCTGCTGCACACCGACACCGGGGAGTTCTTCTCCCCGGACTACCTCTGCTCCAACCCGCCTCTGTGGTGCAACTGGACCATCCAGGTGGATCCCAGAAAGAGGGTCCAACTCCACCTGGAGGACCTGACCCCCGATGATGCCTGCCACCTCAAACAGGACCAGATTCACGTGGACGAGCCCGTTGGACATTTTAGGGGTCACAAGGTCCTGGAGAAGTGCTGGCGGGAGGCGAAGTACACCTCCTCCTCCAACACTCTGTACGTGGTGCTGCTGATCGGCGGCAGGCCCAGCTCGACTTACAGGGGCTTCTACGGCCGATACCAGGCGTTCGGACCACCGGTGGTTTACAACCCACAGGAAGGATTCACAGAGAGAAACAGGAACTCAGAACCATCTCTTGGACTCGTGGACTTGAATGAATTTGTGATGAATGGTGAACAGATGGAGTCAGATTTACAGCGGCGTCCATCACCGGCAAATTCTGATCTCATGTATGATTATTATGATCAACCTTCAGCCATGACGGTGGATTTGCCCGAAGAGGTGAGTAGGAATCAAACCCCCAACTCTAGCTAATGCCGTAATGCTACAAACCTAACTTAACTTTTTAGGATCTTTCAGCTCATTGTTTTGGATTTACAGCTTCACTCTCCGCTCGTTCTTCAACCTCATTTGCCGGAAACACAGTTGATAAGAACTGTGAGATTAAACCAGACAGTAACTGTGCAGTAAAATCAAAATAATGAGTTAAAAGA